GCCCATTGAACGTTTTNTTATCGAAAGAAGCGCAACCTTAAAGATACGAGTAAACAGTGAAAATGCTTCCATGTGTAGTCACACCATCCACGAGAAGCAATAAGAGAATTAGATTAAATTCAGATTTTCCTAATATTCACATTTATTCACCAGCATACTTCCGGGTAGCTTTATTCTCACAAGCGGTCGATTCCATATTGATATAATAACGAAATTGAATTTCTCGCTGTCAAAACCGGCGACGACACAGTTTGATTGTACTACGAGTTAGTGAGATTTCATCGATCTCTGATGTTCTCAAATGGTGACCTTCTAACGTTTCCCACACGAACAAGTAGGGTCCCCCGATGACAAATCATCTTACCGAATTAGGATTCGGAAGAGTAGCTAATGCTTGCTGCTTAGGTTCTATCGGTTTTTCTATATCATAAGTTTGTCGGTTGAGTACTGTTAATAAGTGGATACCTTCCGTAAGTCGTTCCATTTCTCTTAATACGTCCGTGATGCTGAACCGTCTTTCCGTTTGGCCCTGTTCCCGGAGTTCACAAATAACATACCAGAGAGTGTTTTTGAATTGATAGGTACAATCTAATAGAACAATGTATTCCAACCTAAGTAACACTCAGTCAGTGGTGAACGAAACGGAATCACGGAATCTGATTTGACCAGTCAAAACTTGCATTTAAACCAGCCAAGGGAAATTGAAGTCAGTGTTGATTGGTGATCTGTATTCTAACTGAAGCACAGAAATGTAGGATGATCCTTTTTACTTTAAACAATTCGATATCAAACATCCTATAATTGCTGGTATTATGTGCTGGTTAACTTTCGCATCCTCGAGTAAGCGACGTGGAACTATGCAAGGGTCATCCACATTATTAGCGCACATGGAACTCGTGAATAGCCGTAGAAATACATACATATTTATTCCGATAGTGGAAGATATACAATATGGTCATCTTTGTTCAAAATCAGCAAGGATAACTCAGTCAGTGTATGATCACATTGTAGAAAAATATTATTCACATTGTGAGTAATTTCACCGGGTACTCAAAGTGTGCTCAGATATTTTCGAGGAAACGTGAATGCCACTCGATTACAGCACTCATGCCAGCCATGGAGGACGCGTTTTTTTCCAGGTCCTGATACTGAGTGCAGATTGGCCAGGATTCCGTTGGTCAAGATCATTTGTTTGCTATGCCCGGTGCACCCTTGGATCAAACATGAAATGAAGAGGAAGACAAGAGGAAAAATCAGTTCACTTGAAAGGATCTGACAAAATTGGTTTCGTCATTTGAAATTTGATAATGGACATTCATGACACTGCAGTTTGAAAATCCTATGTATGTTTCTTTACTAAATCAAAAAAGGAAAACTAAATGAAGATTTTCTGCGGTTTGTAATGAGGAATAAAGTGTGCACAAAGGTCAACTTAGTATTTTCATACTTTTATCAAGCTTATGGTTTCACCACCCACTCCATGAGTTCGCTTGGTTAAAGGACTATGGGAGATTCTAATGTACAGTGGTTGGTAACCAAATAATGAAGACCATTGGACAAGGAGACACAAATCCTCTAATAAGAGATACTACCACACAGTTACTCCATTCCCAACGTCTTTTAGTAACTCACTGCTTTAGTTTCTATATTATACCGAAACTAGATATAAACTGTTCGCCGTTAAAAAAAGACACGAACAGTTATTAATATTGTTACCATTTTACCATATGTTGAATACATGCTCATAACGCGGGATTCCTGATTTCGGATTGCTGGAATGAACCGGTTCAAGGTGGTAATTGGGTTAGGATAAATCGCCTCAAAACTGATGCATAATGTTTTCTAATTTAATTTAAATTGTACTCTTCCCGAAGATGGAATGGCATTAGTAGTACATTAGTAGTTTACAGGATATCGATTACTTATAGGATAAACCCTATTGAGCCACACCTATCAGACATCAAGTAATTCATCCGTGGTGAAGAGTGCTTATCCTCTCGACGTTTTGAGTTTTACTCTGTTCATTGACAATTAAACTCAGTGGAGGGAGAAATTTCACTTGGGTCCGTAGTCCAGACCTGGATAAGCGAAACACCTAGGCCTAGTAGCACAGGATAAACGTAAGTAACGTATCCTTTCTATTTGGCCTAAAATGTAATATCATCCGAATAGATGCTTCAAATCCTTTATATATGTATATATATATATATATACGTACTTATAAGTGTTGATAAATCGACATGGTTGACACAACATTACCACAAACAGATTATCGATCGTAACACGTTTATAAATAAGTATAACCTTATGTGGTTCACCGGTGAACTTGTAAACTTCTTTCCCCGTCCAGGATGCAGTTTATTCAGTCAGCCATATGCTTTCCTGTTGGTAGGTTTGAGGTTCATTTGTGGCCGAGTTCATCACTAGTACACATTCGCCGACTCATCGAAAGCTTAAATCCCGGATCAGTTTTGTGGGCGAAAGCTGTATCAAACAAATGAAACGGGCATTGGACTATCTCGCCACATTACATCTGTCATAAACAACCACCTTTCAATAACTGAAGCAGTAGTGAGGACCTAAAAAAAATCAAATGCCACACAATGTTTTTTGTGCAGGAATTCTTCCCAAATGATAAAAGAACGAAAACATTCCAGCATCGAGTGAATCACCCAGGAACATTTGTTTACGCAGCAACCCTATGTTTCGATTCGAATTCTATAAGCGATAGTTATGCTTAAACGCCCGTGGTTTGCTAATATCTACAGCCCGATGTTTGTCAACCATACTCGGCTGGTTGAATAACTTTAAACCTACAAATCATTTATTTACCTACCATAATTTTCCGACAGACTACATCGAACAATACTTCCACAAATTGTTTATCTCTGAAATTCGTGTTTAAGTATACAATGCTAGCAAGTAACTCTCACTGATCGGTCTCACCAGAATTCCTGTCCGATTTGTGCATAAGATTGGAACATCAGCTGCGACCTGAGTGGAACAATTCAGCATGTAATCCAACTCAGTTAGGATGCGGAAAATCCGTCAAATTTAGAGGGATCATCTTCAATTTTATGTGAACAAAACTATAAATATGACTAATAGAAGACCATCTGTATGACGAGTATGGCTGCTGACGAACGTGGTCCTACACGCGGAATCGATAGAAAGGAAAAAAGTTTTACATTATTGTGCGTTGTACTAAGGCGGTGTGGTACACATGATATAACCAATGATCTTCGTGTTTAATGATGCTGCGCTGAAAATATGGGACGCATGAAACAGTGTTTTAAAAATACATTAGTTAACATCAGTTTAAGCCTTAAATATTTTCCTTGTATACGGAATTAATTGTTCTTTATATGCGCAAGTCGCCGATATATAATTAGTTTTACCTGGAACATATTGTAAGCTGATCACCAATTGCGCACCGGTGGGATGTATTAGCTTTCGTCATTTGTTTTCTCAGTAAGGTTCATTGGCACAGGGCCATGAAACACAGTCATCAAGTAAATGCGCATTTGGCATGCGCATTTCTTACCAGAGCTAGGTTTTTTCAAACCACCCTAGACACAAATAAATTATGTAATTTTTGGCAAAATCGGGCACGAGATTCCGGGCAACAACTTTAGCTACAAAGCAAACAATAAGCGAGTCGGTAGACTGTTATTGTTTGAAAATGAAAGCCTGTTCCAATAAAATACAAATAACTCTGAAATTCAACTTCCTGATTTCTGCATTCAATTCCTTTGGTCCGGTTATCTGATTTCACGCTTCCTTTACTCCCGTTTGAGATCTATAGTTTGCCTATTGTTTAGCTGAGAATGTATAAAGGTCATATGCCGCGGTTTCTTATCCGGTCATGGGCTTACCAATCAGATGGAACAGATGAACAATTTAGTCCCACCTCTACTTCATTTCCGGTAATGTTATTTTACAAGCTGAATTACCTTGATCGGTTTCACCTAACTTTTACCGTTATGCATTTATTTTGTTCCACTGGCATTTCAAATCAGATCAACCGATTAGGCCGTGGATCAAACATCCCAACGGAGTCTGTGATCAAACAAAAGTCAATACTACTGGCATTACTGTTTGCATAAAAGAAAAGCCGGTTCGTTGACGATCATTTCGGTGCATATTAAAATAACATGTACCACACTTTATTCTACGTTGATATCAGCTTAGTCCGGATTCTTTGAGTATAGTTGCTTGTGACATTCACGCAGGAACAAGTTTCGCCGCGCGGGGGGGGGTCAATAATGAGGCAGTGAACTCGATAATTTCCACATTGGTATTACCTTCACCGGTTTTCCCACGTTATCTGACAGTCCATAAACAGTGTTTTACACCAGACTTTATTCGTGTACACATTGGCGCTACCAATTGGGATCACTAACTCAAGGCCTGGAGTACGTGAATGAGGATAAATTGCAGTGGTACGGGTTTGGACACAGTTGTGACCTATGAGAATAGAACAGAAGCCAAATAAAACTATATGTATCTTGCAGGGATCAACGAGCCAGGAAGGATATCAGCTATTGCATGTGTTCAGTAACCCGTTGCATCACCAAACGGAAACCAGACAAATTACTTACGAAATGCGCTCTTTGTTTTTAGCACCACTCATCTTTTTATATCTTCACTGGATTGAACCACACTGACGCTGCTGCAAAATGAACTGCTTGTGGACAAACGCGTAAGAGATAGTTGACATGCCTTCAGGTGAAGTGATTTATTAATCAACAGATGTGTCAAGAGCATACCATGGGGCTTCGAATTCCGAAAGAAGTGTTGTAATTTTGCTAGTGCTTTCGCAGGAAACTTGTTCATCTTACCTTTTAAACCATAAAAAGTTCCTTCTATTAGGACAGTATGCTCTAGGTTACAACATTCAACCAAGAACAGCATTTCAATGAGAGATCGACAGCCAAAATGGACTTTCGTTGCTTACCCAGTTTGTGGTCCCGGAGTGAAACTGGTCAGTTCACTTCACTTCACATGGCACCGGAATCAGGGTAGTTTTCTTCACCACTCAAGAGACCAATCACTTCCTGCGGGAACATCTGCTCCGGATCAACGACAATATTGACCAGTCTCAGTTGATTCATTGTTGAAAATGGTGATCCGTGGGCTGGAGTGGCTGCAAGTAACAGGTGTTGCCCAACGCCACTGTAGTTTACGGCGGGAAACGCAACCAAATGGTCTGCCGGTACGACTGCCTGTACCTCACTTACTGGTGCTGATTCCGACTGTTGGATTGAGACCTGCAAATATGGCGAATCGGGAACATGAGCAGCAAAGTGTGGTATAGGATGTTCAAACATCGCATTGATGTTGTGTACAAATAAAAAAGTCATACCTTCACGGGATGAAGTTCCGAGCTGGTGAATCGCTTGATATGGTCATAGAGTGGTTGCGAGGTAAGAACGTAACTTCCTTCGAACGCACTATTACTGCTGATCGGTTTCTCCAAGTCATGCGTGCACGACACAGCACTTAGAAAGGTGTTCGGTGGAGAGTTGATTGATGAGCATGCGTTGGTACACGCTGGGTCATCAAATGGGTGTTTGTAGCACTCGTATTGATCACGCTTGCTGATGAAAGTCAACGGGATGGCGCATGAATCTTTGGGATCAATCAAATCTGGGGCTGAACGAATAGTCTGCTTTTCGTCCTGACCGGGACCGTATTCTGTTAATTGCTGTTGGAAAGTAAAATAATAAAAAACAACGGACTGAATAGAAAGTAGCTCTCAAATGTACGCGATTTTAACGTCATTTCCCAAAGACTAGGTTCGGTAACAGTCTTTTAGCCACTCTGTGGAAATCCGTTGATTTCTTTTACACTGTTAGGGATAAATGCGAAACCTCTGCAACCAGGAGCAGACCTGCCTATAGTACAAGACAGTAAGGCTAGAACCCCGTTGTTTGGGGCTGAAACATTTGCAAAAGTCCCGGTAACCCGGTTTGTTTATTACAATCCTGTTTCAATTTTTCACGTAATTCGTGTGGAATTTATCTGCACGTCTCAAGTGCTGCGTATTGTATGTGCAGTCGCTAACTTGACGTCCCTCAAATCAAATCACAAGAATTTTTGGTACAAGTAGTTGTTGCATCTGATCAAATCGTTCATGTTCCCATTCATTAGCTCCCAAATGCGATATGTGCGTGCGCAGCGGTCTGAGTCGACTTGCGTTCTGTGTTAACATCTTCCAAAAAGGTACTTGTGTAGATTCTATACTTCACTGGGCCCAAATATTCGATGCTCAGTTGTATTTCTAAGTTTCAAGCGCTGAAAAAAACAGTAGATAAAATTATATCATGTGAGGTTGAAAAAATCACAACAAACCTTCATCGATGAACCAACAGCATTATTGTAAGGACACTGGCCGCTTATTAGTACAGTAGCATATCAGTTTCTCGAGGCAAGTCTACTAAAGTTTTGTTTCCCCCATCTGGTTTTCACAGAGGTAAGCTCGATAGATTAAGTATCATAATTCTTATCATTGGTCTGTCTATCCTGCCCACTAAAGTGAGAAATGTGTAAAATTCGTCCAGTCAATCACTACTAGCTGAAGTCCGAGTAACGACCTACAAGTACGAATCATCGTTTTGTCATGACTGGTATACCTTACCTGGATGCCAATAAATCCCCAACAGTTTCAATTTGATTGAAATAGCCTTTTGTGGTGCATTCCCCTAAACGACTCTTCCAATAAATTCATATGATTGTAATCCGGTTTCATATAAACAGTGTAGGTGACCCAAAAATGTTGTTATTCAATGTGCATGAAAAAATCAATAAAAATATACACATCAGATTCTATTAACGGAGAAGATGAAGGAAACATCGCTACTGGTAATACTTCTATGGTTGTATGGCTTCTCATAACTAGATTTCAGTTTGAAATGAGAGCGTATATCGGTGAATATCTCTCCTAAGGTCTGAGAATAGAACATATCAACTCGAAAGCATCAGGCGCCTTGCAAGGTGTGTCTCCAAAGAGCAA